TCCTGTCCAAGGGTCTTCTCCTCTCCCTCCAGTGCACGCCGATACATCGCCTCTGCTTCATTGTACTTCCCTTGGTGGTGCAACACTAAAGCCAGGTTGTTGACACAGGCCAGGGTGTCGTGGTGGGCTCGGCCAAGAATCTTCTCATATCCCTCCAGGGAACGCCGATACATTGTCTCTGATTCGTCATACTTTCCTTGGGATGTCAGCCCGGAAGCAACGTTGTTGACACATGCTAGGGTGTGTGGGTGGTCTTGTCCTAGGATCTTCTCATTTCCCTCCAGAGCGCGCCGATACATCGGTATTGATTCATTATACTTTCCTTCGCATTCTAGTACAATAGCCAGGTCGTTCACACTTGTTAAGGTGTCTGGGTGGTCTGGTCCTAGGACCTTCTCACGCCCCTCCAGTGCACGCCAATACATAATCGCCGATTCCCTATACTTTCCTTGGACTCGCAGGAAAGAAGCTAGGTTGTTGACACTTTTTAGGGTGTCTGGATGGTCAAGTCCAAGAATCTTCTCACATCGCTCCAGGGAACGCCGATTCATCGTCTCTGATTCGTTGTACTTTCCTTGGTCTTGAAGTACCGAAGCCAGATTGTTGACACTTGTTAGGGTGTCCCGGTGGTCTGGCCCAAGAATCTTCTCGCGCCCCTCTAGCACACGCAGATTCATCGCCTCTGACTCGGCATACTTTCCACGGTATCGCAGTGCCATAGCCAAGTAGTCGACGGCCTCCAGGACGATGGGGTTGTTTGGGCCCAATGATCCCTCAATATTCTCTAATAAATTCCGGAGTATCTTCTCTGCCTCATCTGCCTTGCGTTGGTCTACGATCACAGCACCCAGGAGTATTACCCTCCTCTGCCCTTCCTCATCCCAGTCATGCTCTGTACCCTCTTCCCGAAGCGCAATACACCGGCGAAATTGAATTTCCGCGTCATTGTAGAAACCCATATCCCGAAAGTACTTCCCTAGGCGAGAGCAAAGTTCTTCGGCAATGGGATCCGTGGAATCTTTGGTTACCGCAAGTGCATGTGGAATAAATGCAGAACTAACATCTCTCCACGTACTCCAATGCCGAGGGAACAGCCTTGAAACCACTCCCAGCGCAGTGGCCCTCCATCGGTTCGACCCTTCCGTTGGTAAATAGACTTGTAAAGACAATTGCACTAAACGGTGAAGCTCGTAAAATGCCTTGCCCTCACATTCGATAGCCGCGACGAGTGAAAATCCCAACAGTTTCCCAATGGCGCGACGAAAATCGATTGGATCATCCATCCCTGCCAAACCAGATTGACTTAATAGCTCCTCCGGGATGTTCTGACGATCGAGGAACGCGATTAGACGAAGAAGATCTGCCGCTCGGGGCATCTGCAGTGTGATTCGGTCAAAGGTGACAAAGTACGTGGCAATGATGCTTTCCGTCATATCAGCCTCTCGTTGTATGTCGCAAAATGGCTGTGAGAGTAGCCTTCTCGCATGTTCGTCGCTTCCCCGAAACATGTTCCAGTAGGTGGATGGTGGTGTCTGGGTCTCGGCCATGAAGGCTGCCGCTCCTATAATAGCGAGAGGGATGTACTGTACGGAGTCCATGATCATTGCGATTGCTTCATTTTCCTCATCACCCGCAGTGTTCCAGTTACCCAAGCGTTTTGAAAACAATGCCTTGGCTTCCTCCTCCTCCATTTTTCCGACCTCGATCCTTTCGCAGTTTTGCCAAGATACAACCCGGAGTGATCTGGTGGTGAAAATTAGAGTACCCCGGGGCCCTTGTGGTATAAATTTCGAGATGGGGCCGCTGTTGCCGTCAAAGTCATCCTCATTGTCGGCGTTGTCAATGACCAGTATCCAATCACCACTGGCCGGGCCCTCAAACCACCTCTTGATATTCAGTAGGAATTCCTCTTGGTCCTTCTCGCTGCTGGCTAAGGGAATTTGAACACGTTGCGCAATAGCTCTAAAGCCCTCGCTAAATTTCGGTACTCCACTGCCGTGCACCCAGAAAACATCACAATCACTCTCGCTCGTGCGCTGGTAAACGAATTCGAGCGCAATCTGTGTTTTCCTAAGTAACTTTAGTAAACTCCCGAAACCGGCTTAACAATGACGAATACATACCCGGAACCGCCCAATCCATGAAGTGCGATTCGGCTGTGCCCGCTACCCTTGGAATACCTCTTCACCAACTCAATGAGATCCTTGCGACCAGTAAACTTGCTGTTTCTACAATAGGGAATTATTCGGTGGGGCCTTGAAGCTTCTAGTTCCAATAAGTTAGATCTTGGGCTGAAATCTTCCGGGAAAGCTGATAGTACCTTTGCCCCCTGCGGTAAACACACACCGTTGATATATTGTACCAATATTGGTAACGCTGCTCAGGTTTCCCGTGTTTATGTTATTGTTGTTATAATTGCTGCCGGAAACATTATGATCCCCAAGGTTCCCGCTGAAGTTCCCGCTGGTATCGGCACGCGTTGCTCTGGGAAGGCTATTAGGCGGGTACTTGTTATTTAGGAAATCACAAACGATCAAGGGAAGGGGAGCCCACCGATCCATCAAGTATTCGAGTAGTTAACTGACTGCGGAGCCGTTCCCGAAGGTTAGGTAGAAAAGTAGCAAGAGGTCGCTAGCTTATCCGAAAGGGAAGGCAGCCTTCTTGTCGCGACTCGAGGTATGACTGTTCAAAATTGTTTCGCAGGCCCTGAAACAAATCAAGAACGCGAGATGGTGCCGAATGAGTAGCCGAGGACCAACCTCAGATATGGGGATGGATAATTGTGTTGTTCTGAGGCAGTTACCGTATGGGATGTAATCCTAGCTCAGGCTATTCCAATTCAGTGAAGCCAAAAGATCCGGGTGGGTACTGAATGGATAGTCGAGCGACAGTCCGAGGGCAGTAAGAAGGATTGAAATTCTCTGTCTCGCACATGAGAAGCAAGTCGCTGGGGTGGGGAAGGAGGTGGAGAAAAGCAGAAAAATAAGGTTCCATAACCCATAGATAGCTCCTAGGCGGGCTGCGAAATGTCCCGGCAGTAGGTGCGGCTCTAGCACCAGTTCGGGCATCGGCTGGCATTTGGTGAGATGTCTCGTTCCACAGCAGGATGATAAGTTACATACGAGACAATCAGCTGACAGCAACCTCCCAACACCATAATGGTAACCTTGCATTTTGGAATCCCGGCATACTATTCTCGCACCGCAGCGACCACAATGGTAATTTCGTGAGGGCCATAAAAACCAGGAGGCTCGCGTCAGCACACGCAAGGCTGTAGACACATCTGTAGGAATCCGCAATGGGGGTGGGACGGGTGGTGCCGAGCGTCGCACAAGGCTTGCATTATTGTGCGTGGGCACAATAATTAGAGAGTTCGCGCAGTGAGACCTAGGTGGTGTTAATATAAGATAACAATAAGCCTGGCCACCTGGTTCTTTGGTCCCACCTGGTCAAGGTGTAAAAACCCGAAAATCGGACCTGGAATTCAGGACCACAAATGCCCACTTGAACTGCACTTTTATGCCTCTATTCAGGTATGATTTTGTAGCTATTCTTCTCAAGGACAATCCTGAGGGGAGAAACTTCATGAAAGTTATGAATTCGCTGATGGATTGACCTCTTAAAGACATGGAATTTAAGAAACTCCACAATTGTCCGGAGTTTGATGGGCTGTTGATGCAAGTGGCAACCCCTAGTGACATCGTTAATAACTCCCACCCAGGTCTACCTGCGCAAACTCTCTATTGAAGAGAATGCTGCGCGGCAGCACAAATCATACTCCTTGTATGACATGGTGACATGGTACGAGTACGGTAAGCGAAATTTACTACTTGTACCCCACTATCGGGATGAGAATTTTGTACGCCTCGCGTGGCGCGAGGCTCGATTATCCTAGTCCGTGCGCTACTCGCTCGGCCGTATGGTCTGAAGGGTAAGGTTGAGTTTGCACAGCACACAGCCTTGGAGTCGGCTTTTCCTCCGTCCCGTTACCCCCAAATTCTCTGGCTTAGGCAGGTGAACTTTCTGTTGGAAATGCAGCTCGCTATGCTTTAGTTTTCTTTTAGTTTCTTTTGTTTTGCGGAAGTGTGAGCATGGGAGTTAAGGAAGGAAAGCATCATAGTTACGGGAAAAGAGATGCAGGACATGGTTACGGCTTTGTGGTTAAAGAGAGAGGAAAGCGAATGCTACAGAGGAGGATTTCATTTGTCAAGGAATTATGTGGGATGTTCTCTCCTTTGTTACCAGATGGAGGGTTGGCAGAAGGAAGGACTTCGGTGGTGATAGATGGAAGGTTTAGAATGGTGCTATGTTTTTCTTATATGCTTTTGTTACCCCAGTTAGTTGAGTAAGAAGAAGATAACGTGCGAGTTACTCACTATCCTCCCATACCATTCTCCCACATTGCGGTGCCGTATTTTGCTATCCCGTTCATTACTTTCTGTTGTACGTGCTAGTCCATGTACAGTACTGTACAAATATACCACGCCTGTCATTTCACATCTCGAAAACCGTAAGGCACGCCACCAGTAGCTCCGAAGTCTTATGATTTTCTCCGCCGAGATTTAAATTTACATACCAGTATCCTTACTTGTAATTTCATCGCGTATTCGGAATCAGGTATTATGAAGAATTTATAGCTTAGCGCTACAACCAAGTATGGGTAGAAGGATCCACTATTAATTATATAATTTATTCGCATTTAGGTCAAGCTTCTGCTCCTGCAGTACATTTTAATTTACAGACTAGTCTCTCATAGATTAAGAGATAAAACATAATAATACTACCAATATACTTGTACCCGCAGCCTTGGCTTTTATAGGATTTCCACTATTAGCTAGTACTCCAATATTGGCTCCTCCTACCTTTCAGTTAGGTATCCATAATTACCACTTTGTAATACAGCTTCAAATTCATCACGGACTGAATAACTGAATAAATGAACAAATAAATGAATTAAAAAAATGAATAAACAAATAAATGAATAAACAAATAAACAAATAAAGGAATAAAGGAATAAAGGAATGAGCAAAGGAAATAAGAAAATAAGAAAATAAGAAAGTTGGTTTTATATTACATTGAAGGCAGTGAAATGACTTTGCTCAGATTATCGTCACCAATGCTACCACTCTTATCAGATCATTATTGTTATTGTCGGCTACATTCTCCTCTTTCTACATCACCCATCATGTCTTCATAATTCTGACATACTTGCCGGCACTTTTATAGCAACCACATTCCGAATACACGATGAGAATACAAGTAGTCTACTCGCTTAGGGGCGCAGTGAGTTACCAAATTCTCCGGGTAAGCGAGAGTCGTAACGGGGAATTTGAACCCAACATGCCCATTGTATTTAGAGATGCTGGTGAAATTCGGTATATTGGGGGGGCTCGGTGGTGCGGAATTGTACTTTGGAGAGCCTCAGCGTCGGTCTGTCCGGATACTCGGGTATTTTCCGGAGGCGATTCCGCCATGTTGTTGACCTGGAGCGATCATTTTTAGATGCAACCCCCCCTTCACCGCCCGGTTCCACGAGCGCACCTTCGCCCCAACCTAAGTTAGCCCTAACATTTTCTACCCACCTTTTCCCCGCACTTGGCCTCCCCTGGATATTTCTTGTCAAGCTAATTTCTGGGGGTAAGTTAGGGTGGAGGACTGGCTCCGATGCCCTTTTTTCGTCGGAGGATTGAAAGGTTAAAAGGTGGCATCGTAAAGGTTTACTGGACTTTGTTCGATGCGCGATCATGCATGAATCTGATTGGATATCTGTAACCTGTACCGGTAAGAGTGCGAGCGGGGATGGCGTTATCCAACTTGGCAATCTTATCGTTCTTCGCGTGACGGATCTATTTTTTGATTTGGTATGACGAAAGAGCGATTGTAAATTGACTATAAAGACAAAATAAGAGAGCGACGATAATGGTCAATGAAAGACTGATTGATTCGCGTAAAGCAAGAAGGAAAAAACATGGTGCTTTTATCCTAGAAAGATAATAAGACATAAAAGACGACTAGAAAAAGTTTTCCTCCACATGATACAGGCTACTGGAAGTCGGTAACAAGAGTGTTCCGAATGTTGTTGATGAGACAAAACAGAAACAAAACTAATGCAGGATAGACAAGTAAAACAATAACAGAATCAACGGCTGCCCCCACAGGTTTCAACACTATTGGCATTTCTCTGCCACACACGTGATATCGTGTATCATCCGGTATCATACCGCAGCCTATTGAGCTGTGTTGGCTGACATTGGGGGTGGTGTAGTCTCGGGAACCACGGTACCCGCACAGGTGAGTCAGGAACACAATCACGCCATAGCCCTCAAAATACGCTGCACTTAGCCTGGGCGGATTTCAGCCCATCTGCAGATTCCAGCATGATCCCAGCCTTGGTAAGACTAAGTGTACAGTACAGGTACTCGGGTACGTGTAGCGGTGGCTGTATTTCGCAGCAGGACTCCGCCCCATATCTAACCCCCGGACATAACTCCCGAAACCAGACAACCCCCGATGGGAGGCTAACCATAGCTGGTATCGGTCACAGGATCTCATAGAGCTGCAGGCTCTATGCAAATGCGTAAAGGTGTCATTGTGTCACCATATTTTGAACCGCCCACATTGATACCAACCTGCTATCTCAAGTTTCGCCTTAGCCAGCTGCCGGGTGCGCGGTGGTGTTTAGTGAACAATTATTGGCCAACCGGGTACAGTCGGACATGTACCGGTAGAAGGATTGAGGATGGATTTTGACCGATTATGTGGATACGGTAGTTTTCGTGACACATCCGATACGCCTGTCTCTGGCATGAACAAGGCTGATAGGCCCCCGTCTGTGATAGCGGCTGACAATGAGGCACGCTGCCCTCGACAGCCTGTCGCAGATGTCTCTGATGATACCAAAAATCCTGCCAGGTACTGTTCCCCAGCTCCAGGAGCTAGTTCTTTTTCTACCCATCACTCCACTCCGGATACTCACAATACAAAATTTCCGCTTTCCGGAGAGATCTCCATCCCGCAAAGTCACCCTATCATTCAAACCCTATTACGTAACTGCCGTATCTTGCAGATGATCGTTTGAGCACTTTGGATGGGTTCGCGCGGATGGAATCAACCAATTTCAACCGAATGCGGCAACAGACAGGCCTCAGGATAACGAATCGGGGTAATATCCAGTAACACTGTTCCCGGGAGTGTCGAGCGGGTATGGTCGGGTTGGCGCTGGTGCTGGACTTGCACAGTTGTATTACCCGTTCGGAGGTGTATAGAAGTGAGTTGTCCGGCCTATGGAAGGTGGTTACCGTGGATATCCAAATATATAGGTTTGATAGGGAGACAAAGAAGGAGGGCCAACCCCCGCACCGATCTACGCACGCCGACGCTCCGCGAATGTACATTCACACACCGACCTGCTTGGTCGCGCAGAACACGGATGAAGTGTTGGTATTGAGGGGCAGTGTTCTCAGTGGGGCCATCCGTCCGTCTTAAGACTGGGCGAGGACGGACGCCATATCGTCGTCCCGTCCCGTCCTCTAGGCAATCTTCCCAGCGATTGGTTATAGCAGACGTCGGGCCCTATTTCCCCCCACTATATCCTCGTTAATGTCTCAGTTTTTGGTTTTATTTTCTGACTAACATAGAATATAAAGATATGAACTTAGAGCTGGCTACTAGGTCTTGGGGATAATAGTAGCACCATAAAATATCAACCATGTTTGTGAAATGTAAGGTATAGGACAGAATAAACTTAAAAAGAGAATCAAAAGAAAACCAGGATCACAATCGGCTGGGGGTGGGGAAACTGTAGCAATACTCAGATGGGGGGTGCTGGCATGGCTGTTAAAGGTTAGCTTAAATGGGCATGGGGACTCAACAATCATGTCGAAGCAAAGAAAGAATAGATAGAAGTAAGATATAGACCGGGTGTATATGAATGG